TATGACTCATTTATATGAACTGCTTGTGTAATGCTCTTGAGCGGCTCCCTGAGCCCTAAGTGACAAAATCCAAACAGGAGAGATTTCTGGTGACCAAGACGCGGTCACTCCTCCCACCTTATTCCCTGCAGCTTTGTGGGTGCCATTCTCCAGCTTTACTGAATTACTTATACATTTCCAAACACAGCACCCCCCCACACACTCTGATTCACACCCTCACACACTTTACAGCTTGTCTTTGTTTCTGGAATCCTTCTCCCCATGTCCTGTAACAACACTTCTGCAAGCCCTGACAGCTAGTGTAACCCTCTCCTGCTCAGCTGAGCTTTCTGAACTCCCCGGGGCACAGGACAGCACCCCCTTGGGCCTCACTTTGGACACTAAAACACACTATTTCCCGCCTGTCTCCGTTCAGTGACTGTGAGTTCCTATCAGGCAGGAAGTGTGTCGTATTCATCTTTGTGAGGTCTGGATCAAAGTATGTGCTCAGAAGGCATGAATTATATACATATACACTTCTAAATGAATGAACCCAAGAATAAACAAATTGAGGAGAATACAAGATCCTAGAAGCCTGAAATATGAGTAAGAGGCAGGAAGAGGTCAGGAAGCACAGGGACTGGCAGGCACCTGCTGTTTTTTTGTTTTTTTTTTTAAACTTCTGTTGGTGGCAACAGATGGGACATAAAATATTCAGAAGTCAAGCACATCATCCCCTTGGAGAAATCTATAATCAGTCTAAAAGGGGGCTTGTCATGCTCTCGGCCAGCCCTATCAGCTTGCGGGGGGGGTCAAGGAAACCTGAGCTGTTAGCTACAAAAATACACTGCAAGCAGCAGAGGCCGGTGTTCAAACCTTCCTTGGAATGCCCCGGGCAGCTGCTGCTGGCGGTGTGTGTCTGCTGACCTGGAGGTGTTTTCTGGGAGCCTCTTCCAGAATCTTATCTAGATTACTTGTATTTCTTAGAAAACACGTAGACCATTCCAGACAAGCTGGTCTTGTCGCAGGCCACCACGAATAATCTTCTAACAAAGCATCCCCTGCCCAGGGGTGACACTGCTCCTTTGACAGACGGGCTCCTCTACGGCAGATTAAAACACAAGGGCAGCGTGTCAAGGAGACCTCACCAGGTGATGCCACATGTCTCTGCGCTGCAAGGGGACTAGTATGAAATCAGTTCTATAACACAGCAGGCATAGACAGCAATCACTAGGACCGTGTCCCTTACACGCCGCCTGTCTGCACAGTCAGGCATGTCCTTGCTCGGCTTCGCTGGTTATTGTCTCTGTGGTGGACGTATCCATCCATTTGCTGTTCCACCTTTCCTTCTCAGAGACCCTTCTTCGAACCTTGGGTCCTGCTGAGAGAGTAGCAGACCACACCGCCTACGGCTGCAGCTGACTGACTCAGGCATGTCCCTCTTAACAGCTGGCCAGCCAGCATCTCTGAGAGTTGAGCTGCAGAACAAAGCTAGTCGGCTAGAAGTGGGCAAGGAGGTTGAGAGGCTATGTAGATGGGGGCATCTTGGTCACGGTGTACCTCTGTAAGTGAAGAAAGCCACTCTGCATGGAGATGGAAGTGGAAGGACCGTACTCAGTACAGGAACTGGATAGGAGAGACTCTTGAGCTGCAGACAGTAACATCCTGAGGCCTGATCTTATTCCCACAGAATTGCCCTATACTGAAAACACCTGCTCTCATCTGAGCTCATCTGGGCTTCTATTCCATGCATAGGTCAAGCCTCCAAGACCTAGCTTTCACGAAAGGCAGACCAACAATAGCGTTTAATGAATACTCACCACATGTTTTGTCTAGATACATAATATTTAATACATTAGATTGTAAAATGTTTCACCTTCCTCCCAGCAATCATGGGGAAATTGAGGCACAGTTAAAATAACTTATGCAAGGTCGCAGAGTTCATTACACACACAGGAGGAAGTGTGCATGCATGTATGTGTGTGATCACACACACAGGAAGACGTGGCTGCTGGTGGCTCCTAGACACTGTCAGAGCAGGCAGGCAGTTGGCTGCAAGAAGGGCCTATGCTGTTTCCAGAGATTAGCTTACATATCCTTCTGGTTCATTCTAGTCTCCTTGACCTTTCTTGGGTGTATTATCAAAAGGCACAAGAGCGTCTGTCGGGGCACACATCACCCACTGGTGGCTGGGCAAAGTGGGAGAGCTGTGTCCTCCACAGGTGTCCCTGGGACCAAAACCCTCGAGTGGCCTGGTGGAGTAGGAGGAAAAGTCCAGCTCTGAACCTGGCTCTGCTGTGACTCGGGACAGCCATTTCTGGGCCTCTGTCTCCTCATTTGTGAAACGCAGGGGGACTGGGTGAAGCCAGTGTTTCCGAAATGGAACTTGGAACTCTCCTGGGGGCTTGAAATTATTTGAGTGCATGAAAAACAACCTGAAATAGCACCGAATCACAGCATAAGAAGTGTCTCTATTTCAAGTCTCTAATTCTCCCAATTAAGGCAAACACAAGTGTAAGGCTGGTTGGAACATTTTTAAAAATTACTAGTAGAGTCATGCGCCATGTAAGGACATCTTGGTCAAAGGTGTGACTGTGACTCCCATGAGATTTTATCATCTGGTGACTTTGTAACCTTCTTGGTGTGTGTGAGCATGTTCTATGGCCTGCACAACGATAACATTGTCCAGTGGTATTTTGCATAACTGTTTCCTGTCATTAAGCGAAATGACATGATCATTTTCCTTTAAACACTTTTAGCTTATTTGCACTACGCACATAATGATTACCATTACCATACATTTACATTTGTTTTTACCATAAAATTTCCTTTTGGAATAAGTTTATTTAAAAAATAAAGTTATAGGCCTGGTGCAGTAGCCCAGTGGCTAAAGTCCTCATCTCGCACACGCCGGGATCCCATATGGACACCAGTTTATGTCCCGGTGACCCGGCTTGTGGCCTGGGAAGGCAGTAGAGGACAGCACAAAGCCTAGGGACCCTGCATCGGTGTGGGAGACCTGGAAGAAGTTCCTGGCTCCTGGCTTTGGATCGGCTCAGCTCCAGCCGTTGTGGTCACTTGGGGAGTGAATCATTGGAGGAAGATCTTCCTCTCTGTACATCTGCCTTTCAATAAAAAATAAATTTTAAAAAAGAGAGAGAGAGAGAAATCTTCCATCCTCTGGTTTACTCCCCACATGGCTGCAACAGGCAGAGCTGCGTCAATCTGAAGCTGGGAGTCAGGAGCCAGCTAGGTGAAAGAGATTACAGCATAAAAGCCACAGTGTGTATATATACTAGGTATCTAGGTATATATATATATATATGGGATATATGGTAGAATACTATTCATCCATGAAAGAGAATGAAGCCCTGTTTTTTGCAACCAAATGGATCCAACCGCAAAGCATTATGCTTAGTGAAATTAGCCAGTTCCTCAAGGCAAATACCATATGTTTTCTCTGATCAGTGGTAACTCATATATGGAGCACAAAATATATATATATATATTAGAGTGAAATTGGTATTTTGAGATTTGATTATTGTTTATAGCTTTTGATAACAGTGATTTTTTTCTACTTATTGCTTGCTGTATCCTAAATTTAGTGGAGGGTTAAATTTGTGTTTATAAACTGAAGTATGCCAATGTAAAAAGTGAAAGAAAAATAGGAAAAGAGAAGCAGGATGAGTGTGAGTGAGGTAGAGAGAGAAGAAGAAAAGAAAGAATGACTATGTAGTTAAATCATTATGTACTTAAATGAGATATATGAAGCTTGTTCCCTTTTATATAAATATTTTTATTAAAAACGTAAAAATTGGGCCCAGTACGGCAGCCTAGTAGCTAAAGCCTTCACCTTGTATGTGCCAGGATCCCATATGGATGTCAGTTCTAATCCTGGCAGCCCCACTCCCCATCCAGCTCCCTGCTTGTGGCCTGGGGGAAAGCAGTCGAGAACGGCCCAAAGCCTTGGGACCTGCACCAGCGTGGGAGACCTGGAGGAGGTTCCTGGCTCCTGGCTTCAGATTGGCTCAGCTCTGACCTTTGCGGCCACTTGGGGAGTGAATCATCAGAAAGAAGATTTTCCTCTGTCTCTCCTCCTGTCTGTATATCTGACTTTGCAATAAGAATAAACAAATAGAGAGAGAGAGAGAGAGAGAGAGAGAGAGAGAGAGAAAGAGAGAGGAGAGAAAGAGCAGCCTTTGGAGAGGCGGCAGCCAGCTGAATCCAAAGTGGATAATTGTTGGCCCAGGATCCTCAGGAAAGAGCAGCGCCCACGAGGTTGTGGAACTTGGAGAACTACTAGCTGTGGGTGTACTTTCCCTGCTGCGCCTTACCCTTCCTTGGTAATCTCTGGGTTCCTCCAAGGAACAGGTGCCTTGGGGAAGTGTCCACGTGGGCCAAGGAGCGTGGCCTCTCCCGGGCCGCCCAGCCCCCGGCGTCAGAGCACTGTGCGTGGCCGGTCCAGAACCGCCCAGTGACCCGCAGTCAGCACACGACGGGCAAGGAATCCCGCCGGAGTGAGAGCGGTGTGGACTGGAGCAGAGGCGGTTCCGGGCACAAACGCCGCAGGAGCAGCAGCCTCGGGTTGCAAGGGGAGCTGGGCTCCAGAGACGCTGGCCATCCGGCGCCCTCCATCCTCCCGGGCCGCCCCGTGCCGTGTTACTGACATATCAAAGCTGAGGACGCTGTGACCAGGGTCAGGCTGCACCCTGTCCCGCCTCTGGGGCTCGCTGGAGGGTGCACGGGCCAGCTGTGCGCGGTGGGAGAGGTTGAGGAGTCCAAACACCTGACCCGGGTTTGCAAGGCTGCAACTACACTCACCTCCTTCCCGTTACCTGGAAAGCAACACGCGGAGCTCGCAAGGTCACGGTGAACAGTACCGGGGAGGGCGGTGGAGGGGGCAAACTCCGGGCTGGGCGCAGCCGCTCCCTGGGCCCCCAGCCTCCTCCGCCGCCGCCCCCCAAACCGTGTCCCATCCCCACGGGGCGGGGGCGGGGTGGGGGAGGCGACGGAGATCCTACCTTTGGTGAGGGAGTGAATGCCAAGCTTGACTTGGGAGAAGTTGCCGCTGCCCAGGTCGCCGCGAATGCGGTAGAAGCCGACGCGCTTGCCCAGCGTGATCTCCCTCAGCACTTTCTCGTCCTGGCACATGTCCTGTGTCAGCTTCTCGAAGGGCGTCAGCTGCCGGGGCTGTCCCTCCTCGGCCTCCGGGTCGCCCTCGGGCTGGCAGCCGCTCTCCCCGCTGTCGCGTCGGGCACAGTGAGGGTGCACGAGGCCGCCTCCATCCGCCAGGGCTGCCGTCATCCTTCTGCCCCCCGCCACCACCCCCGCAGCCCTCACGTCTCCATCTCAGCCGGGGCCACCGGGCGAGGGCAGGTTGCGGGGGAGCTCGGGAGGCCCCCGTGGGCGCGACGCGCACTGGCCGGGCGCCCCGACGCGGTGTCCGCGGGAGCCGGCGTCAGGGAGAGGGGCGCAGAGACTGTCCGGCCCAGGCCAGAGCCGCCCGCCTCGCCCGGCACATCTCCCGCCCTTCTCACGGGGGTGTCTGCGCTCTCGGGGTACACTCAGGTCCACGTCCAGTCACCATAGCCCTTCCTCGCCCGAGCTCGGGGAGAGGCTTCCGGCTGCACCGGCGGGCTGAAGCTCTGAACTGGGTAGGGCTGTGTCCCTGGCGGAGGCTCCAGTGGGCTGTCTCCTTTCAAAGTTGTTTCAGACTGCTGCACGCTGAAGAGTAAAGAGTGCCTGCCGCTGCCTCTTGGAGCTGATCTTCATCTCGGGCGGCTCCTGCTGTCGGTCGCAGGGCCCCGGAGACCGGGGGAAAAGGAGAGTCGCCGAGCAGCCCTCTGGTCACACGCGCAGCCACGGGGAGATTATGTCCCTGCGCTGTCACTTTAGCCGGCCTTTATTTAGATGAGATCTCCTCTAAGCCGCGAGCTGTCTCAAAAATTTAGCCGGTGCTGGTTCGTCCTGAGAACAGAGAGAAAGAAATTTAGCAGCCCCTGCCGATGTACTGAACGGGACTTAGGGTGAGTGGGAAACGTCTGTGCAAACGCGCATTGCACATTAAGGCAGTAAATGTCAGCTTGCATGTGAATTTAGGGAGAAGAAAATGCACGTGCACTCCCCTCTCAACCCACATTTTACAAAGCCCTTACAGTCTGCAAATATTTCTGAGAAAATGATTTTCCTATTTCTTAAAGTGTGGGAAAACATGCAGTGTGCCATTGGGGTTGCTTTAAAACTAGAGTTAAAAATAATATATCAATTATGACAGAAAGGATTCTTCATTACTGTTCTTTTTCAAAATTGAATACATGTAGTCAAACATTATAGGTCTTTTATTACTTTATTTCTTTAAAGAAATGTATTTAATTTATTTGAAAGGCATAGGGACAGAGAGAGAAAGAGAGAGGAAAGAGAATTTTCCACTTACTGGTTCACTACTCTAATGGCTGTAACCAGCACCAGTACGGGATGTTAGCAGCGTTACATAACCTGCCACACCACAGCACCGGCCTCATTTTTACGTTCTTGTAAAAATGGATTAGTTGGGCCTGGCGTAGTGGCCTAGTGGCTAAGGTCCTCGCCTTGAACGCACCAGGATCCCATATGGGCGCTGGTTCTAATCTCGGCAGCTCAAGTTCCCATCCAGTTCCCTGCTTGTGGCCTGGGAAAGCCTTGGGACTCTGCCCCTACATGGGAGATCCAGAAGAAGTTCCTGGCTCCTGGTGTCGGATTGGCACAGTATTGGCCATTGTGCTCACTTGGGGAGTGAATCATGGGATGCAGGATATTCTCCGTCTCTCCTCCTCTCTGTATATCTGACTTTGTAATAAAAATAAAACAAATCTTTAAAAAAATGGGTTTGTCAAACACCACACACACACACACACACACACACACACACACACACAAGGAAAGCAAAGAGGAGGTTGACTCTCACTACTATCCCTGTTTCTGGATAACCAAAGAAGATTCTGGAAGAGCAATGATGGATCAGAGGCTCAAAAGGGGACCAAGCAACAGTAGTGAAACACATCTCCAGATCAGAGTCTGATTAGGATGTCTTCGAAATTTTTAGGTGAAGAAATCTTTAATTAGGATCCAGAAACACTACATCACTAAATATTTTAATTTTCTTTTTAAGTTTGGGAGGCAGAGAGGGAGAGAGAACTCCGTTTACTAGTCTACTACAGCTAAAATTGGGTCTGGCAAAAGTTACGATGCGGAAACTATGCAGGTCCCCCATGTGAGTGCCAGGAGGCCAGTCGGTGCTACCTCTCCAGGTCTGTAAGGAGCTGGAGGTCCAGGAGCAGGAAAGAGGCATTGCTTCCCATGTCTCCAGGATAACATGCATTGTCATACAGAGCATCGGAACCACCACACCAAACTCTGAACTCACTGCGTCCCTGGTTCTTACCATCCTGGGTCACAGACTCCCTTGAGATTCTAGCAAAACCCTGACTCCATCCCCAGGGATAAAATGCACACCCACACAGTGGGCAGCCGTTTAAGAGGGTTCCCAGGGCTGAAGCTCAACCCTGTGCCTCAAGCGAAGACCCTGTGTGAAGGTCAAGTGGAGCCAGCTGGGCTGTGATGTTTGAGGAAAGATACCTGACAGCTGACAGGAGACTAGAATTGCAGGAACATCCTGAAAGGGTCTTCAGCTTCATTTGTACAACGAGAGAATGAGGATGTCAGACGGGGGGCTTTACTTGCTCACATTCTAGCAAACCCCGGGAAGCACTTGATGGCCCCTGTCCTCTCAGAGGGCCTCATCACTGTGCTGTCCTTGTCCCTGGACTGTCTGAACTCCAACTAGACAGAAACCTAGAGAGCAGGAACTTGTATCTTTCTCTCTCCCAGAGTTCTGCACAGTGCCTGGCCCTTGGTTGGTAAAACTTGGTTGAGGAAGAAATGAAACTTAGCTATTTATCCTGTTACACTTAGGTATGGTTTAGAAGAGGAAAATATTTTTATTTTTCAAATATTTGTTTGAGGGGCCAGTACTGTAGCACAGTACATCAAGATGCAGCATGCAGCAATGTCATCCCATATGGGTGCTCATTCAAGTCCCAGCCTTTCGAATAGAAACATAAATCTTCTAAAACAAAAACGTCGTAGGGTCAGCACTGCGGCACAGCAGGTAAAGCCACTGCCTATGGTGACAACACCCCAGCTGCCTTGCTCGTGATCCCACCGCCTGCTAAAGCACCTGGGAAAGCAGCGAAGGATGGCTCCAGTGCTTGAGTCTCTGTACCCACGTGGGAGACCCAGGTGAAGCTCCTGGCTCCTGACTTGGGCCTGGCCCAGCCACAGCCAATGCAACCATCTGGCCGACGGGTGGAAGATCTCTCACATTGCCTCTCTCTCCTTTTGTGACCCTGCCTTTCAGATAAATAAAATGAATCTTTAAAAATCAGTTATATGGGTCTGGCATGGAGGCCTAACAGCAAAAGTCCTCGCTTTGAACACCCTGGGATCCCATGTGGGTGCCAGTTCTAATCGCAGCAGCCCTGCTTCCCATCCAGTTTCCCGCTTATGACCTGGGAAAGCAGTCCAGGATGGCCCAAAGCCTTGGGACTCTGAACCCAAATGGGAGACCAGGAAGAGACTCCTGGCATCAGATTGGTGCAGCACCGGCCGTTGCCGCCACTTGGGGAGTGAACCATGGGACAGAAGACCTTCCTCTCTATTCTCTCTCCTTCTCTTGGTATATATTTAAAAAAAAAAAAAAAAAAAAAAAGGTGAGTGAGCAGACAGACATTTTACAGAAAACACAAATAATTCTTAATATATAGAGACAACCAACCTCAAAGGAATGCACATAAAATTACACTGAAATTAGAATTTTCACACATGAAACTTGGAACTACGGAAAACTTGCGATCACGCACTGGTGAGAGATAAAGCATGCGAACAGGAACTCCACTCTTACTGACACCGTGACCTGGTACAAGTGCTTGCAGGGCAAGAAGCATGCAGCTGTTGAATCACGAATGTGCCTGTCTTTTGCCTCAGCAGTTAATTTTTTCAGAATTTGTGTGAATTACACAAAGATGCCTCTTTCTTTCTTTTCTTCCTTTCTTCCTTCCTTCCTTCCTTCCTTTCTTTCTTTCTTTCTTTCTTCCTTTCTTCCTTTCTTTCTCTCTCTCGCTTTCTTTCTCTTTCTTTCTCTCTTTCTCTCTTTCTTTCTAGAAGCCGAGAGAGAGAGAGAGAGAGAGAGAGAGAGAGAGACAGACTGACTGACTGACACACAGAGCTCCCATCTGCTGGATCACTCCCCAAATGTCCGCATCACTTGGAGCTGGGCTAAGCCTGAGCCAGAAGCCAGGAACTCAATCCAGTCCTCCCATGTGGGTGGCAGGGACCAAGTTACTTGAGCCATGCCTGCTGCTCTCCAGGGCTTGTATACAGCAGGAGTCTGAATATGGGGCTGTTATTTGACCTGTACCAAGCTATTCTGATATGGGACACAGACATCTTAACTGCTGGGCCAGCCACATCTAGATGCATGTATTTTGACATAAATCAAATAAGTAGTCACTGCTGCATCAGTTTGCACTAAAAACTAGAAACATTTTTTTTTAAAGGGTCACTTATTTATTTGAAAGGTAGAGTTACAAAGAGAGAGAGAGAGAGAACTTCCATCTTCTGGTTTACTCTCCAATGGCTGCCAAGGCCAGAGCTGGACTGGTCAAAAGCCAAGAGCCTCTTCTGGGTCTCCTAAGCATATGGAACATCCTCCACTGCTTTTCCAGGCCATTAGCAGGGACTAGGCCAGCCAAAGCTAGGAGCCAGGAGCCATGAACTCCATCCAGGTCTCCTACATGGGTAACCAAGGGTAACCTTGGCCCATATGTGCTGCTGCATCTTCGGATACACATTCCCTGGAAGCTGGATTAGAAGTGGAAGACTCAGTCCCAGACATGCTGATGTAGAACAAGGACATTCCCAGGGGCGGCCCGACCTGCTGTGTTATTGTGCCTGCTCCACTCTTTTGATTTTGAACAATTTTATGGACATGAATGAGCACTCAGAAACCCAAATCAGACAAGTCCACGAGTCACATCATTGCAGATCAAAGCCCCTGGAAGAGGCAGAATGGTTCTTAATTATTAGCTTACTGTTGCTGCATAACAATGCATTAAATAAGATGAAAGAAAAATAGAGCTTACTTTGTAATTTAATTTATTGACTTGCAACCCATTGTGAAAATAATATCAAAGAAAATCATCTTGCCCTTTTGTCCGAGTTTAAATTACAAAACTTCTGGGCAAGTCTTTCAGACAAGCTCCTTGTTG